TTCTAGCAGCTGAGCACGGGCACTTGGAAGTTGTGTGCATGTTGCTGGAAGCTGGAGCTAACAAAGATGCAGCAAGAGCAGACGGGGCGACGGCCTTGTTCGTTGCAGCGCAGAATGGGCAGCTGGAAGTTGTGCGCTTGTTGCTGGAAGCTGGAGCTGACAAAGATGCACCAAGAGGAGATGGGGCGACGGCCTTGTTTGTTGCAGCTCATAATGGGCACTTGGAAGTTGTGCACTTGTTTCGAAGCGGGAGGTGACAAAGATGCAACAAGCCAAGCTGCGAAACGGCCTTGCTTCTAGCCACTGAGACTGCGCATTTGCAAGCTAGAGCCAAGATAGATGCGGTATTGCATAATGGGGTCACAGCTGTGTTTGCTGCTGCTGCGAATGAGCACTTGGAAATTGTCCGCCTATTACTGCAAGCGGGAGCTGACAAAGATGCGGCAGCGCATGATGGGATTATGCCTGGGTTCGTTTCGTTGCTGCTCAAGAATGGGGACTTGGAGATAGTGCGGTTGTTGCCGCAAAACTGAGCGTGGTTGCTTCACTGATTGGGAGGCCCTGCTTAATCGGTTTTTTTTAGGTGTTCAGTGTTCAATACAATTATATGCATATGCTGCATCATATGCTACTCCCCATGTACCAACGCGTTGGGAAGTACTGTATGTACATATTATGCCAACCCATCTCAAGTCAAAGACATACTCCAGAAATCTCTAGTGTGAGGATGGAGATGTCATGTCTCTTTTTGTCCATGTTCCCCGAACCGCAGTGGCGGGGGCTCGAGCCGCGCAGCCGAAAACAGGTGCGCCTTTCCGCGCGGTTGGTCCTAGGTGGACCTCGTTTGTCCTTGGAATAGGACGGCTTGCATGGTAGTCGGAGCTGCTGGAGACGGTCTTCCTTGAGGAGCTGGCGGTGACGACTGGTGGAAAGAAGGGGCGCCATGCCCCATGAGGAGATCCCATGCTGGGATGGAGACCCAGCATCCTTTGAGGCATTCGCCACCTCGTGCAAGTGGTTTGAATACAGCCTCAAGGATGCAGAGAAGAAGCTGGCAGCCCCGAAGGTCTGGCAGAAGCTGTCGGGAGTCGCGAAGAGCGTGGTGAAGCACCTCGAGCCCAAGGACTTCAGCTCCGAGAACGGCATGGAGAAGCTGCTCGCGGTCCTCCGCGAGAGTCCGCTGCAGAAGCTTCCGATCCCGGATAGCTTCTCGAGGCTCGAGAAGTGGTCGAGCTTGAAGAGAACAGCTCAGGAGACCATCCCGCAACTCCTGGTCCGGGAGGAGGAGCTGTTCGTCGAGCTTCAACAAGCACTTCAACGAGCTCGCCATGAGAGGTCCCGACACGAGGTCAGGTCGATGGGAGTTGGTGCCAGTGAACATGACCCGCCAACCTCACCTACGAGGTCTCCGAACGTGACCCGGGCCGGACTTGGCTCGGTTCGCGAGGATGTGACCTTCGAGGATGAGGAGCCCCAGGTGACGAGGCCTATGATGACCTCGACGACTTCAGGCGAGACGGCCGGTTTCTTCGAGCACGAACTGAGGGGCTACAGGCTTCTCAAGGCCGCAAAGCTCAGTCAGGCCGAGAGACAACATGTTTTGACCCTGACACGGAACTCAACGCACTTCAACCAGATCCGACAGGCCCTGAGGTCTTTGTTCGCTGACGGAGCTGACCAGTCGGACGACCATGGACGGTTTCCTCGGCGCACTGCCTGGTTTGCTGAGGACTCCAACGATTGGGAGATCGAGGACGACTGGTGGCCAAGCGAGACGGACTGGTGGTCTGAGGATGCCTACTGGAATGACTGGTCGCCGACCTACTGGGAGGACGACTATGGCATTGAGTTCGAGATCGGTGAGGGTCATCAACCGGGAGAAGAAGAAGGGCACGATCCAGCACAGGAAGATCTTGAAGGCGAGAAGCGACTGGAGGAGGCCTACACCATTGCAGCGGAGGCCAACAAGACCCTGGCGGAAGCGAAGATGGCAGTCGCAAAGGTGAGAGCTGCTCGGGGCTACTACAGTCCGGTTGGGATGAAGGGCGAACCTTCTGGCAGCCTCGGAGGAAAAGGAAAAGGGAAGAGCAAGAGTCCTTTTGGTAAGGGAAAGGGAAATGGTGCTGCAAGCCTCGGACCATGCTTCATCTGTGGACAGAATGGTCATGGGTATGCCCGATGCCCTGACAGGTGGTCACGGGGATCTTCATCCGGGAGAACGTCGCCTACCTCTTCGCCCAAGGGTTCGATGAAGGGCTTCAAGGGCAAAGGAAAAGGTGGGAAGAGCCGCAAGGGCGGCAAGGCCTTCTGGGTGGACTATACCCCGGAGTATGGCTACTACGAGGTCAATGTCATGAGCCTGGCCGAGGACACGCGCCTTGGAGAGCTTTCCTTGACCAAGGCGATCATCGATTCCGGAGCCACAGAATCGGTTTCCGGCATTCGGTCCATGTCGAAGCTGATTGACTCAGGCCATTTCCTGTACGACATCACGCTGGACAATAGGCCCCGCTTCCGGTTTGGCAATGGAGAACACCAACGAGCGGTGTCCAAGTGCCACGTGACGACCAACGCCATGGGAGGAATGGAGTTCTACCTGCTGGATGGTGGCGCAGAGGACACTCCTCTGCTCATCGGGTCGCGGATTCTCCGTGCCCGTCGAGCGGTGATCTCATACCATGGAGATTACCTGGCTCACCGTGGAGGAGATGGAAGATGGTGGGTGAGCCAGCTGTGGTCCTCTCCGGGCGGACACTTGGTGATTGACTTGAGCCAGCACAAGCTTCCAATCGAGTTCCTGCTGAAGAGGTTCAACACGAATCCAGCTACCCGCTGGCCACCGGATGATGACGCCGGTGATGACTCCGACCCTGGAGATGAGCCGCCGCCTTGGAAGAAGAGACCAAGGACACATGAAGAGAAGAGGCAACACGATCCAACTGGACGGTTGCTTGCGGCAACCACTGGACATGCCCGAGACCAACCTGAAGAGCCTCCTGAACCAGAGGAGATGACAGAAGAGCGTCGAGAACAACATCTGAGAGCCGCCGCATTTCTCCATTCAGGCGAAGTTTCCAACTACACGCCTTCCATGCCAGGAAATGATGAGCCTGGCCTTCCTTCTGAACCCCTCGGGGAACCCAAAGAGCCAGAGGAAAAGGGAGAAGATGTGATCGTTCGACGTGTTCCCATAGATCTAGAAGATGAGGACCATGAGGCACTCGAGGATTCCGAGAGGCCCCTGGAGACTGTGTCGTCGTTCATCAGTGATGTGGCCGGGAATGACCATGTAGAACATGCAGTGGAAGAACATGGAAGTCACATGCATGGAGAAGCACATGGTCAGGTGGAGCAACATGGAGAGTGTCAGTCGGTGATTTTTGACGGTCGAATACTCATGGTTGAGGAAGACTCAAACGCAGATGCTCTGTCCGACCGCCTCAGCAAGTTGGCTCGACGGCTGAACGACCTCAAGAGGACGAGCCCAACGGACAATGAAGACATGTCCTCCTTCCACGGACCAGGACCCACGCCATGTCGGGTGGCCGTGCATGAAACACCACGTTCCTGGACCTCAGCGAACCAACAAGTTCGCAGCCTGGCAGGCCTGCAATCATTGTGGCCTGAGACTCCGGTACACCACCAAGGGCACTGGCACCGGGGACAACCGGGCCATTGGACCTCCGCCAGATCATGTCGAGCTGGCGCAACTGGAACTCCAGGAAGCCTTCCAAGCGCACGAGATCACGGAGAAGATTTTCAATGGGAAGCTTCTGGAGAT